CCTATTTCTCGTTGTTCGCTTTGTGTTGCCGCAGTATTCGCCACACTATATTTGAATTCGGTCGCTTAACGAAAAATTTTGCATGCGAAAGCAACAACAAAGATAGCTAGCACGACAGTCGGGTCTACGTAACCGGAACGACCCAGATTTATATCTGGCCAAGGACTGTCACTCCAGCAACACTCCCTAAAAACTCTTTGGGGAGTTTGTATGCTGTTACAACAACAACATAGCTAGCACGCATGAACCATCGTCTTGGCTAGCACGCATGATTCAATAATACACGGTTAGATAATTATTGACAGCTGCGGTTTGACACTCCCTTACAAAAGGTTGCATTTACGAAGGACAGAGAAAAGGCAAGAATGCAATCCCTTGTTGCGAAAATGGTAGTAGAAAAGTACGCAAAGTAGGCAATTAGTAGTGAAATTCCTTTTGTAAATTCTAATGTATTTGCAGGAAATCTGGCATTTTAAACGAAATGTTGAACGTAATATTGATATATCCACGTGTATTACGTAATTTATATGCTATTTAGCCGTATAAAAACTGCAAAATGACTCAAAATTAAAATAAGACTACTATGAGATTGATGTAAACATCCAATGCTTATGTTTTCATCAGTTAAATATGCTTCATATGCATATACAAATAAACATATTGCACAAAAGCTTATACTTTTATTTCACGCCAAAGCTACACAGTTTCCATGTAAATTTGCAAAGAAGCAACACGGTGCCACTGCTAAGGGAGCGGTGCGAGAGAGACAACTGTCAGTTTATCGAACCTTGTATTATTGAATCATGGCTAGCACGGATAGACAATAGCGAGTTTGGTTGTACCTCATTGAGTTCGTTCGTTTCGCCACTGGCTAAAGGTCTGATTATGCATACTTCGCATAACTTCGCACGACCAGTTGTACCAGTGCAATAAAAATGTAACTTAAGCAAATGTGAAGCAAAACCTAAACTCAACAGATCGCTAAGTTTTTAAAAGTTCTGATAATTTCTGGGTAATGGAATACATACAAAGTACATATGAAATTATAGTTAGAAGTTTAGGCGAAGTTATGCGAAGTAT